ACTCCGTTCCCATCCTCACAACACGTTCCCTCCTCTCCCTCACATAACCGACTACCCATACGTACACCCCTCTCTATAGCATACTCCCTATCCTTTCTTAGACCTCGACTACTCTTGCACTTCCTCAAGTAATACTGCGCCTCGACTTCCATCTCTTTGATGAGGAACACCTTTATTTACCTGCAGACGTAATCTCACCAAGATTTGCCTTAAATTAGTTTAGAAATTCCAAATTTCTCTTAGCTTTTGCTTTCATCCTCCTCTATCTCCCAAAGCTATCGCGACCTCACCTCCTTCCTAAACTTTCGAGCAGTTCTCCTTCCGCACTTGCCTTCGATTACTGCCTTTCTCGCAATTATCTCCCTCTCTCACTCCCGCACTCTCTGTTTTTTGTTTTCCCTTTTTTTTTTCTTCTCCTCCCTCCCTCTTTCTGCCTGATGCCCCCTTTTTAAACCTATTCCAAATTCACATCCCAGCTGTTGATTTCTCTCATCCCATCCTAATCGTCCATCTCACCCTCCATCACCGATCTAGGCTATTACACATGTTTTTTTTTTATTTATGTATTATCTATTTGCATGACTTATTGTTGATTTATAAATATGAGATGTTACTATATATTGGTGACTGGTAAACGATGTGGAAGGTATGTTTGAAAGGTTTATTGGATACTCTAGGGAAGGGTGTACGGACCCGGTGTATAGGAAAAACCTTACTGTGAGCATTATCTTAGTCGAATGGAGCTGAGAAGTCCTGTACCAAAAAGGGTTTAGAGGTAAAATTCACCTTCATACCGGATGAGATATTGAGGCTGTGGTGTGTCTTGGCATCTATTACCGGACGAGATATGGGGACAATTAGTTAGTCAATAACTTGGATATTGAGCCCACGCATAAGGGAGACCCCTATGGACTTCCAAAGGTACTAGTAAACAAGTAAAAAAATAAGTTACTATTCTTGTTCATTTGGATATAAAATCAACTTTATTCTAGTTATTATCTTCATAGGTCGATTTTAGAAACTTAGAACGGTAAGTATGGAATAAATGATTTTATGTTAAATGAATTTATCTAAACTAATGATTTCATTAGCTGTTTTATAATTTTTACTAACCTTCAGTTTTTCGTATCGGTGATTAGTGTGATATTTTTACTGGGTTAGTGTAGTTCATCCCCCTATTTTAACTATTTCAAATCAAAAAGATTAAGATCCGGATCTTAAACAGTAAGAAGGTTGCGAGTAAAGGTGACATCCTGGACTCCATCAAAGTTGCTAGTAGAAGTTAACCCCATAAGATTTTTTATTTCTTTACTTTTAACCATTTATTTTATTACCTTGAACGTTGTAAAATGGACATTCTAATTTACTGTGTAAAGAATGTAAATTTTTAATTATTATATGCTTTTGCTACTACAATATATACTTTTCCTTAAAGTTTTGAGCCTTTACATAATTAAAATTTATATTGACATATATTTGTATTTATGTAGCAGCGTTTATAATGTGATGTATACAAAACATATGCACATGTATACAATTATAACACATGTTGACATATATTTGTATATATAAAGATATTTATAATATATGTAATTTTAAAAAAAAACGTAATTTGAATTTTTAATTGTTAAACATATTTAGAAATTTAATTTATTTATTTTTTATTCTTAAAAATATTTGAATTTTTAATAACATAGGCAATCATTCGTATTCTATGAAAGGCAATAGTTGGCTAGCCGGGGGCAGCTACAGGTGGCAATTGTATGCGTGGTATAGTGGCTCTCAAGCAGTAGGCTGCGGAAGGCGGGCGATGAGGAGGCGGGAGACACTGGCTGGTTGAGGGGAGGAGGGACAGTCAAAAGGGCTAGATAAAGTGAAAAAACATAAAAATATGCAAGTCTTGAAATTAGTTAATAATAATATTATGAAGAAAATATTAAAAGTATGAGTAATTTTTTAAAAGATAGTTTTTTTTTTTTTTACTCATATGTTTAAACATAACGTAGATATCTTTTTAACTTTTTTACTTTGGTTAAAAATATTTTGACTTTACTATTTGATTGTAAAGTACTTTTAAAGATAAATACGAAAATTACACTTCATTTAAGTTTTATATAAAATATTTATTGCAAAAGAAATAACTATTTAAAAAATAAAAATAAAATATAGACATGTTGTAAATATGTCATAATTTATATTATTATGCATATTCTTCAAAAATCTAGTTAATATATGAAATAATATCTCTTCTTTTACATTCTTATTATGTGTATTATCATATATATATATATATTGCGTATAAGGCAATATAAAAAATATAATTTTATTTAATAAAAAGTAAACATAATTTTATGAAAAATATAATAAAAAACATTACATAAAATAATTTATCTCATAATAAACCAAATAAAAAAAATCTAAAACTGACTAAAAAAAAATAAAAGTAAATATTATAAAACCGTACAATCCATATTTTCAGATATGCCGCACCCAGGCTTTCACAGCATCCTTTCTTCGTGCTATAATTTTGTCAAGAAATAGAAAAATATTAAATTTAACAAAAATGCGTGTGAAGATTTGAGTTATACCCAAGTCACAAAGGCCAGAGTCAACAGACAATACCTTTCCTCCTTCTCCCCCCCCCCCCCCACCCGGCCTCCGATTCTCTCACTCGCCCGCCATTGTCATTTCTTGTAATAAAATATGACTTGCTAGTTCTTCCCATTCATCTCTTATATCTTCGCACCTTCGCTTTCAATCGCATATCTGAAAATCTGATTGATTCACAAAACAATAATAAGAAGATAACCGAGTACAAAATCAACTCGCAGATTCAATCGAAACTCTCTTCTTCCACCATGTTGATGCTTGTTGACTGCTCTAACTGCCGCACGCCACTACAGCTGCCGCCCGGCGCAAGGTCTATCCGCTGCTCCATCTGCCACGCCGTCACTCAAGTCGCCGAACCCCACCGCTCCTCCCGGTCGCCTCACTCTGCGGCTTTCAACCAACACGCGCCGCATCACCCTTTACAGCACGCGCCGCCCGGACCTCTGCCACCGGCGCACGGAAGCAAGCGAGCTGTGATCTGCGGCGTGTCCTATAAGAACACTCGTTACGAGCTCAAGGGGTGCATTAATGATGTTAAGTGCATGAAGTACTTGCTGATTAACCGTTTCAACTTCCCTGAGTCTTCCATCCAAATGCTCTCTGGTAATCTCCATGTTCTTTTTTAAATAAGAAAAGTTGGTGTATCTGCAATTTGAATTGAAATTTTTTGTTTAATTTCTGATTAGAGGGCTGATTATTTGAATTTATGGTAGGTTATATGAAAATTTCCACATCCTCTTCTTAGATTTACTTACAAAACGAATTTCTGTTTGATATAAATAACAAATTAAAAAATATTTTCCGAAATTGAAGTTGATCGCCAGTGTTTGGCGGAAAAACCAAGGATATCACTATAGATTAAAAAGCCTCAGGGTATGCTGAATGGTAAATTCATACATTATTATGCCCTTAATCGGCATTTAATTAAAATGTGAACCAAACTCAAGATAGAAATTGCTTGTGACTTCTTGATCTGAACCTTGTTTAGCTCTGTCCTGATGCACCATCTAAGACAAAGTTTGGGGAACACTTAGAGCAGTTCCACTATTTAGTCAACTTTTACAATGTTGAAAGACTCGTACTTGTAGATAGTTGACTATTAAAGCTTCTTTTCAGTCTTTCGAATCTACTTTATGTATCTATTGTTTGTAATGACATGTTGCAATATTCTTCCACTTTTTGGGATTAATTTGCAGAAGAAGAACCTGAACTTTGCAAGCGGCCAACAAAGCAAAACCTGAGGATGGCTTTGTATTGGCTTGTACAAGGATGTCAACCTGGAGATTCCTTGGTGTTTCACTATTCTGGTCATGGTTCGCAACAGAGGAATTACACTGGAGATGAAGTAGATGGATATGATGAAACACTTTGTCCATCAGACTTTGAAACTCAAGGAATGATTGTTGATGATGAGATTAATGCCACCATTGTCAAGCCTCTTCCTGCTGGTTCGAAGCTTCATGCAATTATAGACGCATGTCACAGTGGCACTGTATTAGATTTACCATATCTTTGCAGAATGGATAGGTTAGTCCTTTTTGTATCCTTTTAAAATGATATTGGGATGAAGTGATTAGTTTACCCTTTACTAGTGTACTTAGGCTTTCAATGAGATTCTACTCCAGATTTTCCTCGTTCCCTCTT